AAGAACAAGTATTTCACAATTTAGCTCAAACCCTTCATAGCATTTATACCTCAAACTTTACCAAACGGAAATCTATGCAATTATGAAACTTCATCAATTAATGATACACAACGAGTTACCATGAAACACCAATAAACCAACTTAACCAATAATGTAATATAAGGAAACTACAGAACAATTGATACCTTCAATACAGAAAACAACATTAAACAAGAAGCAATTAGACATGGAAGCACCAATAAGCATGTAGGAGTTAAGAAAGGAAGACAATATATTAAGAACGTGGAAGGGAACAAGCTAAACAAATAATTTGGTGGTGCATAGGTACTCGTCACCACACCTATACGCCACAACGTAAAATTTCACATAGCAATTAAGTTGGGGATCCCTTATCCCTAGAGTCAAAGTTAGACCAAACACTTACCTCAATCCAACGGCCAACTCAAAGCTCAATTACCGCTTTTCCTCTAGATTCTACCTCCAATCAACTCGTATCTAGTCATAATTAACTTAATAACACTAATTATCGCAAAAGAAATCAACTCCAATGCATAAGTGTATGTTTCCTAATATTTTCCCAAAAAGCCAAAAATCGACCCCGGACCCGCTTGGTTAAAACTCAAAGTTCGGACAAAAACACAGTTACCCATTCACGGCGGAGCCCGGATATATATTTGGTTTTGTAATCCGTCCTCAATTTGAGGTCTATATCCCCAAATTTCGAAAGTCCTAAGTTCTACTGAAAAACACCTAATTCCACCATGAAAACCCCGGGATTCTATGATGAAATCTTGTAAAAAGATGCAAAAGATTGAAAGATATAAGTTAAGAATCATTTACCTATGATTTAGGGAAGAAATTGCCTTTGGAAAATCGCTTCTTGAGGTTTAGGTTTTGAAAAATGGGTGAATGAATGAAAATCTCGTCTAAGTCCAAAATTTATCAGCTGCAGATGTCACATTTGCGACCTGAGCTTCGCATTTGCGAGCTGAAATGTATTGCAAATAAGAACCCCTCGCATTTCTGCTGCCTTTGCAAATGCGGACCTGGACGCGGCCTTTTTCTTCGCAATTGCAAACGACCCGGTCCCCTCCCCTGCTACGCAAATACGAACAATCTTCGCAAATGCGAGGCTCGCCAGACCTCGCAATTGCGACGTCTGCAGACCTGAAGCATACCAACAATTTTTCTTAAGTTCAAATCACTCTGTATCCTATCCGAAACTCACCCGAGCACTCGGGGCTCCAAACCAAACGTGCACACAAGTCTTAAAATATCATACGAACTTGCTCGCGCGATCAAATCGCCAAAATAACACCTAGAACTATGAATTTAACACCAAATTGTATGAATTTTTCAAAAAAGATCAAAAGTTCTATTTTCTCAACCAAAGGTCTGAATATCATCAAATCAGTCTCGTTTCTCACCAAATTTCACAGATAAAGCATAAATATCCTAACATACCTGTACTGGGTTCCGAAACTAAAATACGGGCCCGATACCAGCGAGATCAACTATTAACCATTTTCTCAAAACCATTATAATTTCAGTTTAACATTTTTTATCAAAAATTTATTTCTCGGGCTCGGGACCTCAGAATTCGATTTCGGACATACGCCCAGGTCGCATATTTTACTACGGACCCACCCGGACCGTCATAATACGAGTCTGGATATGTTTACCCATAACGTTGATCAAAGTCAACAAAATCAATTTTTTGGCCAAAAAATATTATTTCTTAAATTTTGAAGACCTTGGAACACGGAATCGAGTTCTAAAACATAAGATGACTCATTGGGTCATCACACACAACTATCTCTTCTGTGTTATCATCATCAACAATAATTACATAAACATAAAAGTCCATATACTTTGGTACCCTTTTTAAAAATCTAACCTACCTACTTACAAGTAAATATAAAAAACGCTACGCTTAGCAAGCATAAATCTAACGATTTCATACTAAGGGATGCCTTCTCGGGACAAATACTATTTACTCATTCGTATGAATTGATGTGCTCTTTCGGGAAAACTCCAAATAGTAGGATTTCAAGTAAGGGAGCCTTCTATTTTTTTCTTTTTCATTGCTTGCTTTTTCTTTCTTCTCTTTGAAAGAAAATTGAAGTATGCGTCTCTAAGACATGTTTCTCAATTTTGTTCCCTTTGTTACTAATTCTTGATATACTGTTGCCTTCTAAAATTGTGACTGTCGCGCATATATATTTTGAATAATCAAAATGTGAAAGATTTATGTAAGTTATGATTTTTTCCTGGGTTTTCCAAGTATCTTCGCGACATTTTCACAAAAATAATGCAATAGTGACCCGTCTTTATTCATGAGACTAACCCTACAAAAAGGTAGATCAAATTTTTATGCAGGAAATAACCACGAAAACAAGATTTCTAACATAACATGAAACTTCCACAAGATGAATAAATTCTATTATTAACAAAAATCTATAACATATTGTTTGTCCTCATACCTTTATGTTAATAGTTATGGTACAGAAAATGAGATAACAATGTCAAATGAATCGGCATTTGCGTTTCCTTTTTTGTTTTCGCAATTATATCCAACTATTTTTTGTTTGGTGTAATAATCTATTTTACCTGTTCCTTATTTACTATTATTTTTATGGCAGATAAAGAAGATTGAAAAGGAAGATGAAGAATCATAAGTCAATGGAAAAAAAAAAGATAAAAAGGTATGCCATCTTTTTGCCTTGCATATTGTCGTCCTTCTTTATATGAAAATTAAATTATCTAGGAATTTTCTATTATTAAGTGTGTCATTTTATAGGTTATTAGTTTGATTTTTGTCATTTGTTGTTGCAAGTGTTAAGCACTGATTGTTTTGAGTTCACAACAACTCAATAAATTAAGAAAATATTAAAATTTTACATTTTGTTAGAATACTATTTATTACTTTGCATCCAATGTAAAACTTTTTGTACTCTTCTAATCGGCTATTTGCATTATTTATTTGCACAACTGGTAATACTTCTATTTTAAAGTTATTTAAGTATACTAACTAAATAATAATGGTACTACCAATGATGTAACTTGTGTAAGATCACTAATATTATATACAGCCAAAATCGTGGAGTTCGACTTTGGGGCTATTGTGGCACTCCACGACCAACCTCGAGGAGCTCGAAGCAGAATTTGAAGTGTGACCCCAAGGTGTGTCCCTCGAGGGAGCATATCGAAGGTCAATCTTGGAGCAGTACAAATCGGCGATCATCATGGAAAAGCAGGAAAGCTCCCAAGGACACGTGGTTAGAACTGACCAGGTCTGTAAGAATAGTACAAATTCGTATTGAGCCATTATACAACTATACTATAGCATTTTCTCGTCATTATTAGACATGTACTATGTTGGGATTCCCCCCTCATATATAAAGGGGACCCTTTTCATTGTGTAAGGGGATGAATATTGAATACAATAGAACATTCTCTGATTTTCTTACCAAAACATGCTTAGCAATCACTCTATAGATTTATTGCTTGTTCATTTATTATTCCTTTATTGTTCTTCATTGATTTCCCATTATTAACCGCAAAAGGCTACCTTTGAGGCCTTCATTTATAATTATTTCTTCATCAATTGTTCATTGTCAACTGCCCTAACTAGACCTCGAAGCCCATGTTCCTGTCAGCTCGAGGCTCAGTCCTGCGATAGCATTGGTTTGCATATCTTATTCTCTTCATTTATAATTAGCATCTATTGTCTAACAACTAGTATTGATATAAATCACATATTTTTAGAATCATAAAATCAAATATAATTGTTAACACTATTTTCAAGGTAAACAGTTTGGCGCCCACCGCGGGGCTAAAAATAATAGTGATTGTTTTGGTGCTATTTTTTAACACAAGTTATCCTTCACACTTTTTCATATTAAAGAATCTAACTCAGCAAATGCACACGAAAACAACGGTATGGGGCTTCATGGAGAGAACAGTGCAGTTGCCGGTGTAACTCAGCTGCAAAGACAACAAAAAACTCCAAGCACAGCAGCATAGGAAATGGCTCCTCGAGTTGAGCAGACACCAGAGAGATCGAGTCACAAAGGGTTAGTAACGGACCCCGCTATTGTGAAGATGCCCGAGGACCTCACTAAAAGGATTGAATCAGGAGAAAAGAAGATAGAGGCTAACGATAAAAAGATGGAGACTTATAACTCGAGGGTCAATCAAAACTCGGGCGCACCCCCGATTCTAACGGTTGTAGATTTAAAGAAGTTCATACAGAAACCATACCCACCAAGTGCGGCTCTAAAGCCCATCCCGAAAAAATTCAGAATGCTCGATATCTCAAAGTATAACGGGACCACAGACCCCAATAAGCACATTACCGCTTATACTTGTGCTGTGAAAGGGAATGACTTAAAGGATGGCGAAATTGAGTCCGTCTTGTTGAAGAGATTTGGAGAAACACTGTCAAGGGGGCTATGATGTGGTATCACAAGCTACCCCCAAATTCAATAGATTCATTTTCCATGTTGGCAGACTCTTTTGTGAGGGCACACGCTGGTGCCATCAAGGTCGCCACCAGGAAGTTTGATGTCTTCAAAATCAAACAAAGAGAAAACGAGATGCTAAGGGAATTTGTATCTCGCTTTCAGATGGAGCAAATGTAATTACCACCAGTCTCCGATGATTGGGCAGTACAGGCCTTCACTCAAGGTTTGAACGAACAACCGATAGCTTCGAAGCAGCTAAAATAAAATTTGATCGAATATCCCTCCGTGACCTAGGCAGATGTACATAATAGGTATCAATCGAAGATCAGGGTCGAATATGACCAATCAGGAGCCCCCTCGGGCTCAGTATATCCTAACAGGCTCTTAACAAAGGAACAAAGGTTTATAGAAAGGGAGTAGAGACCAAACAAGGAAAGATACCAGCCGTATGTAGAAGATCGATGAAATGCCCCAAGGCGTAATGCACCTCGAGGCGATCGAAGGACAGATCGAGGCCAAAGTTCTCGGGGACTAATGAGTAAAGTCGGGTTCGATAGGCATACTGGGCTGCTAGAGGCACCTCGGCTATTTGAGTACAACTTCAACGTCGATGTCTCGGACATCGTATCGTCCACAGGTAAAATCAAAGATACTTGGTGTCCAAAACCCATGATGGAAGACCCTTCACAGAGGAACCCTAACTTGGTATGCAAATATCACGGCACTCACGATCATAAGACCGAGGATTGCAGACAACATTGAGAAGAGGTAGCCCGACTAATCAGCGAAGGCCACCTTCGAGAGTTCCTCAACAACCGAGCTAAAAACAAATTTCCCGGGAAAGAGAGGCGAATAGGAAGAACAAACCAGAAGAACAACAACACGTCATCCACATGATCATTGGAGGGGTCGACGCCCTGTAGGGTCCCGTTGTCAAGCGAGCGAAAATATCCATCACCAGGGAAAAGCGAACTCGGAGTTACATACTAAAGGATGCTCTCACATTCAGCGAAGTAGACATCGAGACCTTGTCTCAGGCTCATAATGACGCACTAGTAATTTCTTTTCTTTTGATTAAATTTTGAATTAAACGTGTGCTCGTGGATCCAGGTAACTCGGCCAACTTAATCAAGTTGAGAGTGGTGGAGCATCTCGAACGGCTCTACCAGATCGTACCTGCCTCTCGAGTCCTCAATGGATTCAACATGGCGAGTGAGACAACGAAAGGGGAGATCATCCTCCCGGTCAACGTGGCCGGTACAATCCAAGATACCAAGTTTCACGTCATCGAAGGTGACATGAGATACAATGCCTTACTTGGAAGGCCGTGGATACACAGTATGAGGGTAGTTCCATCAACCTTCATCAAATGATAAAATTTCCAACCAATGATGGAGTAAAAGCCGTGTACGGGGAGCAACATGCAACAAGAGAGTTGTTCGCGGTGCACGACATGGCACCGGCATCGACGCCCTCTGCATCGAAGAAGCCAAAAGACAAGTAAACAACCAGGTAGCGACCACAATCGAGATTCTCGACTACTACCGAATGAGTGAATAAAGGACCGTGCCGCGTCCCCGGAGCAAGCAGTTGAAATTTATCAAGGCTCGAATGCTATCATTTCTAAGGTACAACCCTCTCCCTTTTCATATAAGTTTTATACTAACCTATTTCAGGTGTTCGATTGAGAGGAATCGAAGCGCCCTCCATCTCGAAGACCTTGGGTTTTAAAGCATATGTTACACTTTTTTTCCCTTAGATCGGGTTTTATCCCGAACGGATTTTACCGGCGAGGTTTTTAATGAGGCAATGTCCATATGCTACCTAAGGAGAACTCATGAAGTATTCAATGCTTCTCTTCGATCAACCCCAAATACTGGGGGGCATCACCGTAGGAGGTCACCTCTTGGAAGAAACCAAACTATGCCTAGGAGGACCTCGATAGGAGAATGTTGTATTGGTCCAAATGGTCAAATGAACCATGTCCATGTAGAATAATCGAGCCTCCAAAGGCAAAAACATGTACGCATATATCAAGTAATTGAGGAATCCCCTTTGCTTATCAAAACACTTTGTGCCTCAAAGAAGTTCACTACTTTCTCATAAGACGGCTCAAGGGCTAGAAACTCTCGAACACTCGGGGATTGTCATCGACAGTCAGCTCAAAGAGCCATCGAAAACTCGAATTTGTAAGACTTTGATCAGGTAACTTTGAGCTCATAAGCCCTCAGTGAGGCAATATCAAATCTACAAGAGCTCAACAAGGCGTGCTCAAATTTATAAGACCTTAAAAAGGCATAACCCTAATATTAAAGCCAAGGTTATATATTCGAACTTGTAAGACCCCTAAAGAGGCATACTCTCGATATAGATGCCAAGGTCACCGCATGCGGGGACTAAAGTCTACGGCCAAATATAAAGATTATGGTTGAAAGAAAAGGCTACGGCCGAATTAACGCGGCTCAGAGATATCTGACTGCCACCACAAAACTAAGGGCCTCCAAATACTTCGAAAATTATTCGAAAAGAACCGGTTAATCAAGATACCCTCGGCATAATCAAAGGAGCTTCTATAATATCAGCTTCGAGCAATAAAAAGGGTTCGAAAACAATCAGCCTTCAATGAAAAGGTTTTGAAAACTCAGCCTTCGAGAGAACCTCCCGAGGTACTCAACTATTGTCATATATCGAATCATAATTGAGGTTCTCTTTGAGCCGTTGAAGAGTCAGACGAACACAAAACATGCCAAGGCATAATCAAAACTTCAAAAGTCTTTAGCCAAAATTGTCACAAACCCAAACCTATGGGCCGTAACGAGCACCCAATAACTTACTTAACCGAGTACCAATATAACATATCTTTCTTATTGTTCTTTCGTTGACAAAATGGGCCAAACGGGCTGTCATGGGCTAACCAGAATAAACATAAGGGAATACTCAATATAGAATGACCAATCCTGATATAAAAACTTACATATGTGACATACGGGCCTATAAGGCCAACATGATCATTTGTGAACTCAAAACATAGGCCGGCAAGGCCATACAAGCATTTTTATACATGACATCTGTCTACAAGCCCCTAAGAGTACATACTTATCAAAAAGGTCGGGGCAGGGCCTCGCCATACGAAATAATACACGTCTAAATGATACTGACCAAACAAGCAACTCCGGAGCAAATGGAGGGCACCAACATCTTCCGCTGATATGATGACCTACTTGGAGGACTCGCGACCTATCTATCAGAACCTGCGGGCATGAAACGCAGTGTCCCCAGGCAAAAAAGACATCAGTACGAATAATGTACCGAGTATGTAAGGAACATAAATAACTACATAACAAACATGGGAGAAATATATAGTAAATGACTCAACCTGTAAGCCTGGATAACTCTGTAAATCATGAAATAATTATGGTGTCATGCATATACATATACATGTCATGTCATGCATAGGTACATGTTTCATCAGGCCTCTAAGGGCATCCCATCATATCATCTTGGACACTGTGGGCAAAATTATCAATGTATACCATATGATCAGGTGGTGGTGCGTATATAACGCCATAACCTTATATCCCATATACATATGTATATATATATATATATATATACATATATAAGCATATATAACACCATCTGGTCATGGGTCAATGTACATGTATAAATGAAATACCTTAATAAAATCTCTCGGTACGTCATAAGACCATTATGCCTCTGATTAATATCATAAAATAAAATTTATCAACTTACGTATTTTCTGAGACCCATGAACAGATGATAGAATAATATGACACATGGGGAATCAAGAACATAAGCATCTCTAGTATTTCTATGAATAGAGTCATTTATGGAAATTGCGCATTTCCTCGTCCCGTTTATATCGTATGGATCATGCCAAAAGAAAAAAGGGAAAGCCTTAACATACCTGAACTGATTCCCTTGACAATCCCTTTAACACCCTTTGTTTGCGACATCACGTAATGGCAGATCAAAGTAGAAGAAAATCCGTACGTTATTCTTGAGAAAGATTGTACCGTGCTCTCTTAGAATTGTAAATCCCTTTGCTATTATGTAGTGTAACTTTGTATGAAAATTTACCCAAAACCCGACACTTTAATTCACGTTTCTTGTGAATTAGACTTGAAGATTTGTGAATTGATCATAGCTTGTGGGAAATGATCACATCTTGAATTGAAGATTTGCACCGTATCTTTCTTTGAAGTGATCATATCTTGTATAAAAGTGCATTGTATCTTTCTTTGTGAAAATGATCCTATCATGTATGAAATTTATTGGATTTAAGAAGTCTCACCTTATTAATTGTTGCAAAGTTTCATGACAGTCCCCCTTCATAAGGTTATTTTCTCTTGAATTGTGTCTTATAATCTCTTTATCTTGGAGATTTGTGGGGCCCCACTTTGTGGATGAGTTGGCCAACAATCATTCCAGATGTGCCACCTATGTGTGGACTTTAAGAGTCACATTTTTGTGACTTTATTAGCTTTGATTTGCAGCCACGTTGGTGGATGTAATTCTTATCCAATATGTCCCCAATTAATTAAGCAATGTCCTTTTACCCGGTAAGTAATCAATTACCCGCATAATTAAGAATTATGTCAACTTACTTAAAATACTACTCACTTTTAACATACTTAATGCACCGTACTATCATGGTCATGTGGTACCTTGTATGACACTAATTCATAAATACCGGGTATTATAACTCGGACCGTATTTTATCCCAAAATGCTAAATTTCGACGAAATTTATTTTCTTCGATATGCTTACCCTCTTACCTTCGCGAATTTACTAGCATAATACTCATAATTTCACAACAATCTAATTTCCGAACTTATGTCGATTAACTTATGATGAAACTTTATCATACGAAAATGCAGGATGTGACATCTCATTTCGAGCTTCCATTAATTTATTTATGGCACACTTTCACATACGAAAATATGGGGTGTAACAAATATGAGGGAAAACTATAACCATATTAGAGGTCATATCGACCAAATCTAAAATGAGCCTAAGGGCCAGTCTAGAGAGCCTAAGGGCTAATGCGTAAGAGACTAAGGGCCAGCCTAAAGAGCCTAAAGGCTAATATGTTTCAAACCTAAGGGTCAATGAGCCCGAGTCAAAATCTGATTCGAGGACCAAGCCCTAAACGGTCAACTATTATCAATTATTCATCAAGCACAACCTAAGGGTTTATATCATAAGTCCGACACATCAAACTAGTTATTGACAAACATCAAAATATATTCGAAAAAGGCAAGGGGAAGACAAGAAATGACGAAAAGCAAATATCCTTATATATATATAATAAAGTTTTCAAAGACATGTTTGCAAGGCTCACGCCTGGAGCCCTTACACAAAAAGGAACAAATAAAAACCTAATCTATCACCAGGGTCACTTGACCAGACGGAGGTCCCTCAGAATTTGTGCCTTCAACGATTTGGCCCTCGACCCCAGAACTTCAACGGCGTCTTCCCCTTCGGGGAGTTCACCTTCATCTTCATCATCCTCCGAGTCGCTGGCCGAGATCTCAGCAGACAAATCGATGCCCCCTGCATGTATATCCTCAGAGCTTGTCTCCGAGATCTTAATCGAGAATGCGCTAGGGCCCAGGTCAGTTCAAGCTCGGCCTCTTTAGATACCTTTCTGGTTCGAGCATTTGCAGTAGCAGAATCTTCTCGGTACAACGATATGAGTGCATCGGCTTCGAACTTAGCTGCAGATAGCTCAATAACTGATTTAGCATGGAGTTCTTTGTACTTACAACTTTCTCCCCTTGCCTCTTGGAGTTGACGTTCAACCGAGGTCAGCTTCTCTCAAAGAGTTTATTTATCGGAGGACACTTCGTCCATGCGCTGCTTCAGCCCAAGGATTTCAGTATCTCTGACTTTAAGTTCCTCTTGTATTAGATCATATTTTTTCTTGAGCTGAAATAATCAAATTAAGGTATTAAACGCTCAATTGACTAACTCACAAAGCAAGCCCATGAAGGTCGTATTACCTGCTCATCGAGATCGGCCTGCTCTCGAGATACCCTCTCCAAATGTGCTCAAAGGTCACCTAGCTTCCCCTCCTTTTAGGCATAAAGGGCCTTAAGCTCGTTCAATTTAGAAATGAGCTTAATAAATTCATCCTCACAATGAGCCAAATCAGCATGTGACTTGGAAAAAGCTTTGTTGAAGAGCATCAAGGCCTAAAAACACAGAGGAAAGGAGTAAGAAAAGCGAGAATCGAAACTCTAAATACAGTGGTCAAGTAAATATTACCTGCTTTCGAAGCTTCTCAGTTTCTTCAAAGATCAATTAGGCATCGATATCGGGGCCTTACTCAACCACGACAAAATATCCTTCAAACATACCATTCTCTCCGGGGGATGCCCCCACGATGGGAGCTTTTATATCATGAACATCACATATTTTCCCAGGAGAGAATGATGGGCACGACGGAGGCTCATCTACATTGATCACCATGAATTGCTC